ATAAACTGAACTTATAGAAATGTTCAATATTAACTATTTTATATTTTAAACGTTCGCTAAACGCAAGTGAAGAAATAATCTATAGATGCAAATATATCTTATATTCTGTTTTAGTTTAAAAAAATTATTGTTACTTTAATATTCATGTTGTAATTGTAAATTGCAATCTTAAAATGATTTTTATTATAACTTCTGATTAGTGTTTTTGTTCATCGAGTTTAAGCCTTGCCACGTATGACCTAATGATTTACAGATGGGGTAGTGTTTTTCCGTGGTAGGAGAATTTTAGTATAATAAATTCGTATTTTGTCTATAAACCTATGCCCACAGTCAAAAGGCATTTGATGTGCCTTCCAGACATTGGCACGATTTGCATTTTTTTATGAGTAAAAATTGAGCTGAAAGATATAAAAAATTTTGCTAACGATAAGTGGTTCTATTCAAACAAAAATACAAAAATAATTATATGTATATTAATGTATATCAATCTTAGTCAAAAGTTATTATAGATCCTATACTAGTCCGCTATGGCTTTATCATCGGTTAACCGCTGACGGACCGTTGTTCAAACGTTGTCGATTTCCCGCCATCGGTGCGCTGTCGAACTGCCTTCAGTTTTCCGCTAACGGACCTATGTAAATACGATTTTTATTATAACTTCAATTTTCTGCTTTTTTTATTTTATTATAACTAATAGTTTTCCGCTAACGGACCGATGTAAATACGATGTGCAAGCCAACGTGGCAACGCAGCGGGCGGCCGACGTCGGCACCGCGTAAGTGCTGACTGCGGTCCGTTGTTGGTCCGCCTGCTTGATGTTTGCTGGGGGGTTTAAATAAGTAAATAAAACATATGATGAAAACTTTTATATTATTTATTTTTTTGAATCTTATGAGGTCCGAGGTTCGACACCGGCTAATGTCCAATAAGCGACGTACGCGTGAACTTTTAATTAAATGCACTTCCGCGGTGCCCCGTGATAACACCGTAAGGACGTATAGAAGCACCTAAATAACCTTAAAAAAAAAAAAGTTTTTCCAGATATTATAAATTTTAAAGCTTTAGTTTTTTAACAATTTTAGGCTGGATCCGCTTCTTGCTAAATGGGTCGGTATTCAATACAGGGTTTCCCACTTCATTTCGACAACGTATCATTCAATTTGACATTGTATAAGTACATTTCGACAATGTTTCATTCAATTTCGACAGCGTTGCATTTGATTTCGACTGTTTTGCATTCAATTTCGACAGCGCTAATAATACTTAAATTAATATACAAATAAAGCAGTTAGATTCTTTCTAAATTCATTTAGATAATATAATTTTTAAGTTTGGATACAAACTAAAATTAAACAAAATAGTTATCGTATAAAAAGAACTGGAATTACAAATACTGGTCACTGTTTGTGTGGCCCACTTTCCAGCTAAAGAACGTCCTCTTCTAAGTCGCATTGAAAGACTAAATCAATAGTCTTTCAATGCGAAAGACTATTGAAAGACTATTGATTTAGTCTTTCTAAATGACTACTTCATCAATAAAGAATATTTTATTGTCATTCATAGAAGACAAAATGTTCATGAATCTTTCTGCGTAAGAAGCTCTTTCATTAATAACGTCTTCCGAATTTCTTCTCTCTGGAATATTGTGAACACGTTTCAAAGTATAATTAAAACTATCAATGCATCTTGCTATAGTAGATTGCCTGACTGAAATGGATTTTTGTTCAAAAAGTTAATTTTTCTTTAATAATTCTGTTAATTTTTTGTTTCTAGAACCACCTTTTAATTGCCGTTCTATCGGCAAACCATTTTTATACTTTTTAATAATCGAATAGCTTGATTTTCGTTTAAATCCAAGAATATTTGCAATTTATGATGGTGAGTTTCCATTTAAGTAAGATTCGATTATCCTTGAACGGTTTTCATTGTTGATTATTTGATTCGGCATTGCTGTTTATAAATATTGCAAATGATATTTAAGCTTTTATTATAAACTCTTGTTGTATTGAAGAGACAAATGCTTTTATTTACTTAATAAAAAATTATAACATTAGTTTATAGTTTGATGACAATTTAATTATGTATTGTTGGGATATTTTCCAAAGCGTATATATATATATTTTTTGACAATTGGACATAATTTATCCGGCAATAAAAATAATGAGTATGGCAATTAAAAACAATTAATATGGTAACTTGAAATAATTAATATCCACATTGTTTATTTTACCTATATATTTTACGTATATCCAAAAAAATATTGAAACCATATTCATGATGTCACATTAATTATTTTATTGTCCCGATTAAATTCAACCCATTATTATTTAACAAAAATTTTCATCATAAATATAAATACTTTAATTCAAAAAAGAGTGTTTTTAAATTGTCGAAATGTGATGCAACAGTGTCGAAATTGAATGCAAAAGTGTCGAAATGTAGTGATACAATGTCGAAATTAAATGCAAAAGTGTCGAAATGTAGTGATACATTGTCGAAATGAGGTGAGAAACCCTGTAAATAATAATAAAACAATACTTTCTAAATATTGCATTTGTAGTTCCATAACCCAGCATCTAATACATGTAGAATTAAAGCCATGGCTAGGCTACCCCCTTTTCCCCAGACACACACGCTAATTGAGGGGGGCTCACGGCTGTTTCACTCAATATAAAAGCGAGCCTGACGTCACGAGTTTATCAAAAAAAAAAGTATTTCCGCATAAAAAGTATAAAAATTCATTAACTTTAAAATAATAGTATTTTTTTTCTATAAATGCTTTCATCTTCAAATAAAAAAAATATAAAAGATCTATCTTTCCTTGTTAAATAAACATTTACATTAAACGGAATAAAAATGAAAGCTGTAAAAATATTGTTAATAATTTGGCATCACTTTTCTGATTTTTTCGATTTTTACGCAAAACCTGTCTTAGGCCAACTACGATTTGATAACATAGCTACATGGTCGATGGTTGAAATTTAGAACAGTTATTAATGAATGTCTGTTCTATCTAGATTTCCACAGACTTTGCAAGTTTTTTATATAGAAAGTTAGTTTTTAATGCATTTATATTTTTGTTTTTATTCGTTTTGAATAAAAAACATAACATTTTTGAAAAGTCTGTGGATTTAGTAATACTTCAACCTTATATGAATAAGAAAATCAAAAAAATTTTTTCTGTACCTCTAGCTATGTTATCAAATATGTTTTCAAACTTGGCATGTTTAGCGACATTTTTTTTAGTTTTTTTTGCATAACTTCTTGATTACATTTTGAAGCGGTGACGCAAACTCTGATCGTTACGTCCCCAACGATTATCGGATGCATTTTAAGAAAACAAACAAAACAAACGAGACACATTTTATAGAATAAATAACAAAGTTTCGCGGATTAATTTCTATTGGATATTTGACTAATTTCAGGTAAGTTGATTAATCCGATTTTATCTAGTGCATCTATTTGTCAATATTATTCTATTTAAGGGTAGTCGGTAAAATGCGATCTGCGAACCGTGAACTGCGAACTGGTAAAATGCGAACTTTTTTGCTAACCATGGTTCTATTGGTTATTAATGATGTAATACTTTATTTTCCGTTTGCCGTTAAATTGTTTATTTTCCAAAATATTTTAAGGACTACACGCAAAAGCATTTATTTAAAAAAACAAATTGAGTAAAACTAGTATGAAAAAAGAAAACTGCGAAAAAAACAGATACTGTATATGAAAAAGTGAATAGTAAGAAAAATCTGTAAAAAATGTATAATGAAGAAATAGTTCTTTGTTTATACTTCTTCTACAGATTCATATATTATAACGAAGATTCATAAAAAAGGGATATGATATTAAAAAAAACAACATTCAAGGTACACCTTTTGTTACTATAAATATATATTCTACACTCTGTTTTGATAAGTAAATATAATTAGTTAAAAATATATTTTATATATTATACGTACTTTATTAATTATATTATATATATGTATTTATATAAACTATGTAAAAACTTTATTTATAGTTTTTATATATATATATATATATATATATATATATATATATATATATATATATATATATATATATATATATATGTATATATATATATATATATATATATATCATGTTTTTTTTAAGGCATTAACTTTAGCTATCAAATCTTTTATTTCGTCTGGATTAGCATCTCCTGCTGGAATAACTTCAATATCAAGTGTTCTTGGTCTTTTTCTTCCTCCTGTTTTGTCAGATTTTTTTCTTGTATTTCGACGAAGTTGTGTTAGATTAACCTGTTTTTTTTTGTTGTTTGTAACAGATAGACCAATAGCCTGGCGTGCTGCCAATATATGATAACATCTACTTTCAGCTGGACATGAACATGTCTCTTTTGGAAACAGTTTTACTACACGTGGTTCTATAGATCCTTTTACAATAAAGGTCGCAAGTTTGGGGTCAAGAGCAATATGAGAATTTCTAATGATTTCATTGGCCCTTTCAACAGAAGTTATCATAGTTGTATCTTGTACTAACTCTAAACTTTTAGATGTATTATGCATAAATTGATTGTTGATGGTTTCTTTAATACGTTAAACAATTTGTTCTAGTGCTGTTGTATCTGGAATATGAAGATCACATTCTTCATAAGTACCTTTCATTTCAGCTCTTAATTCATATTGGCCAGTTCCTTTTCGAGCACGATAAATTTCCACCATACTATATTGTATAAGTCTATATAAGCTTAAAGCCATTGAATCTACAGTAGCCTCTTTCCAGTCCTGTAGTCGCTTAATTACAGTATTAAATGCTTCTGATTGATTTGTTGTAATTTCATGAAAGTTAAACTGTTTAATTCTCCAAGATCCAAGTTTGTCTACTACACTATGAATTGTTTTGATATAGTACTCAGAAAAAGGCTGACTCCATGCTGATAACATTGTTATTAGTTTATCTTTATATGAAGATTCAGAATAAGAACGAAGAAGAGATTGAATACATTCAGTGTAATATGCTAATTCATCTTTTGTCTTCACTCCGTGCAATTGTAACCATCGCTTACTGTCCTGCAAAACATGGTTCTAACAAAGAAAATGTGAAACTGATGGAAAACTTTCTTTGATGGCCTCTGTTATAGCTCATTCTTGATCTGTGACAATAAAAACATTCTTTAAAGCAAGTTCTGGGCATACTAATTTCATATGTTGCCAAAATATGGAATGGGGCATTAGTGTTTTTCGCTCATGTATCATAAAAGCTAGTGGAATGATTGGACTTGGGTCAAACTCAGTTTCTCTAAATAGCAAAACAGAAAGATAGAAGTCGCCTAAAGAAAAAGTTATATCATATGATAGTTGCTGAGGTAGTTGAGACAATTTCAGTACTTGCTGAAAAATTTGCAGTGTTTCATCTGAGTACATAACTACCACCAAATCAGGAAATGTTATTATATTATGAATAAAATTTGTATCATACGCTAATTCATGAAGATTGTATAAACTATCTCTAGATAAACGCTGCTGATTGCGTGTTGATTTTAAAGTATTACTGACTTGTTCCATGTTATGTGGAACTGCTGTTATATTTATATCAGCTGTATTTGATAATATTATGTCTTTGTATACTTTTTGGACAGAACCTGTACTTTCCTTAATTTGGTTTATAACACCTGGCTGTGTCCTGATAAAATCTCTATTACATCTAGTAGCATTTCCATGAGGAAACTGCACAGCCTTAGCTTCATCACCTATGTATGATATCAGAACTGAATTAGCATAATCAGCATGATAGTGTGCTCTACGTACAAACACATCACTTACTGTGTCTTGTGCAACAAGAATTCTAAAATACTTCCTTTTAATTCCATTAATTGTCTTTGAACCCCCTTGCCTCCACCTGTAACCATCTGCACGCCAATTTTCTAAATAATATTTTATGTTATTGTGAATAATTTTCCTTGGTTTTTAATTTAAAAACAATTTAATCTTCAAACGATCCTTAATTCTTTTAAAATGTGAATAAATTGTATAAATTTTATATATATATATATATATATATATATATATATATATATATATATATATATATATATATATTCACATATCTTACCTTTATCCTTGTCATTAGTCCACGAGAAAATGTAATTAGTACCAGCTTTTGGTTTGTACCGAACAGCGAATTCAGCGGGTAAAGATTTAAATAAATCTAATTCCATTATATTATTTAATAAAAGAAAGAATTGAATAGCAAACGTTTTATATAACTTTAATATATTATATTGCGGTCATTAAAATGTAATGTTTTGGTTCCCAAAAAAGTTCGCATTTTACCGGTTCGCAGTTCGCAGTTCGCATTTTACCGATTACCCTATTTAAGTTGTTTGTATTATAATTTTATTACTATATCAATAAAGATTATAAAGCAAAGTTTCGTGGATTATTTCCTCGTGGATATTCGACTAATCTCAGATAAGTTGCTTAATTCTTTTATTTTTAGTGTATTTATTTGTAAATATTATTTTATTTAATTTCTTTTATTATATTATTATTATAATATCATTATCATTATTTATGCGATGTATGCAACTGAGAGGGAAATTTTGAAACTGTACATCGGTTGGGAAGATGGTTGGGAAAATGAGTATAACTTTAATTTTGTAAAGCGAGTAATTGACACTAGTAAGATCACTAACAATGTGATTTCAATTTTATTAACAGTTTTTCATCCAAAAGCGTTGTTTACTTTTTTAAGTTTTCTTTTGCCAATTGAGTTTAATATGCCTAATATTGATGTGTTAAATAAAATGTGCCGAAAAATAAAACAAAGAAAAAAAGATTCTAAAAAGTATTTTGAAGCTTCAAAAAACGAAGCATTTTTTAAAATGCAACTGTCTCCAGCTCCACAAACAAAAAAACAAAAAAAATCAGCAGATGCAGATAATTTTTATATTTTAAATAGGAATAAGGAACTAAGTAGTCAAGTTGAACAATTAATTTCTAAAGAAAAAAATAATGTGGAGCAAATAGATAATTTAAAAATACAGGTATCAAAGTTGGAAACTGAAGTTATATATTTAAATTCTAAAAACAAGGCTCTCAACGCACATTGTAACTCATTAAGTTCTCAATTAGAGACTATGAGTATTAGGCTAAAACAGGAGGAGCAGTTTCAACTTTAAAAAAAAAAAATAATAAAAAACAGCACACCGTAAATTTGCATCTGCTCGTGCCAAAAATGTAAGATTGCTAAAAAAATTTAAATTTGAAAAAAAAAAAGCAAAAATCAGTGATATAAACAAGAACAGTTGCCAAATTTGCAAATATTTTGCTAGCAGTGATAAGGATTTAGTTGTCGTTGATTCTTATTTAGACTATGACAACATTGGTTCCTCTGAATTATTCTGTGGGTTTAAATTAAGTAATCCACAGACTATATCAGTTAAAAAGCCAATAGTTGGTAAGAAATATACTTACATTACGTTAGGAGATGGTAAATCTTATTCTAAGTTAGGTAGGCATGCTGCAGCTAGACGATCTAAACTTGCTTTTATATTCCTTCGATTATTAGCTTGTTCAGATTTGGAAAGTGATTTGTCTATGTTGTTTTGTGATTCTGTGTCTTGTGAAAAGTCTATGTTTCATTGTGTTGCAAATAAGTTGGGTTTAGTTAGGCAGTTAAGTGTTTCTGATGCTGTAGAGCTGCAAAGCCAATTAAGGATGCCCACGGCTGAATTCCGTAGGCTAAGACGTATTCTGTGTAATCTTGGTGCAAGGATTCTCCCATCTGAGCCCAAGATAAGACAAGAACAAGAAATGCGGACAATGCATGTTAGTAAAGAACATGTTACTGTAAAGTCCATGTTGCTTTATCCATCTGCGAATGAAGCACCTTGTTTAGTACCTGTATTGATGGTCAAGAATTTGATAACTTATATTGAAGAGGTTTTCAATAGTCTGCACGTTCGTGACCACTTCAATTCTGATGTCAGTTTTTGCGAAGAGGTATGGCTCCTTTTTGCTGGGGATAAGGGTGGGAAGTATATGAAATTCCATTTTGAAGTTGTCAATTCTAAATCATCAGGGTCTGTATATGATGTTCATTTATTTTGTATGTATCAGGGTTCAGACTGCCGTGAGAATATTGTCTTAGTTCTCGGGCATTATGCCAACGACATTAAAAGAATTCAGTCGTCAGATTTTAAACTAAAAGGCAAAATAGTCAGGTTGTTTTTAGGTGGAGATTTTCATTTTATCGATGATGTTCTGGGACACCAGGGTTCAGCTGCTAGCTTTCCTAGTTCTACAGACCTAGTTAAGTTGAATTCTCTAAGAAACCATGCTTCTATGCCTCACACACCTGCTAATTGTAACATCTTAAGGAGGACAATACAATCTCTGGAAAGTGCTTACATTGAGAACTTGTGTGAAGATAGACAAGGTGGAAACCTAAGAGCTCTAGGTAAGTTTCATAATTCAATTATTGCTTCTGCGATTTTCCCCATAATAACTTTAGATAATGTAGTGCCACCTGTTTTGCATATTATGTTAGGAGTTGTGTTAAAACTTTATAAGTTATTGTTGAAGGAGTGTAAGACTTTGGATTGTCAAGCTGTTTCGTCTTTGTCGCATAATGAGAATGTGAGAACGAATGAATTGTGGGCTGCTAAAAGCTTTGAATGTTCTAAAACAGCAGACTCTTTACGTTTATTAGGAAATCAATTTGTAGACGTTGCAAATCTACAGACTCGTTGGTTAGCTTTTGATAAAAATATTTCTGAATTGGAATGCATATCTCTAAACTCCTCCAATAAAAAAAAAACCTGTAAACAGCAAGAAAAGTGTGCTAGTATCAGGTGTTTAATTACTAAATATGATTGTAACATTGATTGGGTGCAGTGTGGTACGTGCCAAAAATTGTTTCATCAATTTTGTGAAATTATTGGTGGTTCGGAAAAGAATGTATTGTGTGATATAGAGAAGTATGAGTGTTTAGCATGTCAAGGTGAAGATTTAGAATGTCTTGACCTTTATATTTCTGAAAAAATTTCTTTTATACGCGCACAGCGCGAAGTTTTAGATGTTGAGTATATTCGATTGCAGATAGAGTGTGAAGACCTAGAAAAAATATCTATAAGTAGCATGGGAACTCATGAGAGGTCTCTTTATAAGGCCCTTGAAGATATGAAAGTTGAGCGACAAGCTTACCATGGTAATGTATTTGTAGGTAATCATTGTAAAATAGTATTAAGAAACCACTATAAACTTTGTAGTGTTATTGATGATGAAGCAATTAAAAATAGATTTGTACGTGTGTTTAGTGTTTTTAATAACTTGCAACCTATTCTTTTTAAGTGAAAATTTCTTTCTGATGCCGAAATTTCTGAGCTTCATCAATATATAAATTTATTTGCTATTGAGTTTCATGCTTGCTTTCCAAAAGAAAGTTTCGAGCGAAAAATGCATGAACTCATTTTCAATGTGCCACTATTTGTAAAATTGCATAAAACTATTGGGTTGCTGAGTGAAGAGGAGGGAGAGTGTTTGCATAATAGCATAAATAAAGAATTAAGGCAGTTGCATTCAGTTAGAAATCAGGAGCAAAAGCTGCATCTTGTTTTAAAACGCTTTGAATTGCACAGCAAAGCTGATAGGAAGCTTCAAGCCTCTAAGGTGAGAAAGTGTGTTGTGTGTTCAGAGCGTGGCGAAAATTCATTTTATAGACAAGGTCTTTGTCTTGTTTGTGGTCATCAAATTTAGTTTAAATGTTTCAAAAGTTAAAAAAAAAATTAAACTTTTTACATTTAAGATAAATTATAT